TACGTTTATTGCTATGAAACTGGATAAATACTTACCTTCCATTGGACCGTCGTAACATAAGTTCACCGCTTCACCACTCGCTTGAGAACTTAACAACATTATCATCCAGGAACTGAGACAGAAAAGACTAATTGATGCCCAACCTTTGCAGAAAGGGGGACCAATTTTTTTTGCCATACTTCTCACTCGAAGTCTCGAACAGGTGATAAAGCAGCAACGCTTTCAATGCAATGTTTAACGTAAAACCAAACTCACTATTTGGTTCAAAATTATAACACTTTCAAAACCACTTATACAGTCAATATATGTATTTCTCCAACAAGAATACTAATGCAATGCGCGCATTCACAAAATTTTAAACTCGTTTTAAAGCCCAGTCGTCCCGTCAGGCGTCAGCTGTGCCAAGCATGCAAAAAGTTGTAAATATGCCTACTGTAGTTTATAATTATAAGAGAAACGAAAACAATGACTCTCTGAAGTAGGAGGAGGAGCGTTGTGACAATTGTCAAAAAATGGCGAGAACTAGAACGAGGAACAGAAATAGCAGAATCGAAGGAAGCAACGAGTGAGATAAAAATCCCAATTCCTCCGCACGGCACTGGACAAGGGGCAAGGTTGTCTTTAAGCTTTCACTGCACTATATTTCCGATTTTGCTTGGCTTGTTGTCATGCACCGAGTGAGCTGTTATTAAATGTGTCGTCAAGTGGGCTGTTATAATGTGTGTTTTTCGCGCAAACATAATTTATCCACGCGTTTACAGCATTCAAAGGGGACAAATAGCTATGAAAGGAGTAAAAAATATAAACGGCTTATACTCAAAAATGTCCCGTGATTTTGTGATGCACATAATACATTTTCACCCAATAATAATTATTTAACAAGTATCACTTCTGCGAGAACATTTATAATTTATAACGTTTTGGAAATGCTAATAAGTACATTTCCTCCAATTGACAGCTTTCACTTGGCCGAACGGGAAAACAGATGTTTTTGCTTGCATATGTTCGAGTTGGGCCAGTTTTATAGCAGGAAAAATTTTCCGATCGAGGGATTTTGCGGCGGAGGGGGGGGGGCGATCTTCTCATAATTTTCTTTTCAACAGCAACTGCTTCAAGTCTTTCGCGTTTATGCAACTTTAAAAACTATTGAAGTCATAGAACGATAATTTTTTTTTCTTTTAAACGAAGGCAATATACTTTCCAACATAAACAATATAAGCGAAGCTATTTGTAGACAATGACACACAGTGTGTAATTGTCTACAAATAGCTTCGCTTCAATTAATGTGGTATAACAACTTCTTAAAACATACAAAAACACTTCTCGACCTTTCAACCTAAGCACAGAAAAATTGCGCAAGACTGAGTTAAGTGATTCTTGGTAAAGAGGTAAAATAATATTTTTCGCATTATAAATACTGCACAGAATTTTTTTAAACTTCTCTGTTGATAAAGCATTCAAAGTGTTAAATTTTGATGCAAAAAAAAAATCGGAGTTAAAGTTTGGCTTCGCAAAAAAACGAGGAGGTATAGTTCCAGTTATTTATTAGAGTTCACTTTTTCAGATATAAACATGAACTCTATTTAGCGGCCATTTTGAAACGGCTCTGTTGTTATAACACCAATTGCTAAATGAAAGTTCGAAATAAATTCGACCCTAGATATGTTGACCAAAAGTTATATTAAAATTTTAATGTTCTAGCCAAACATGTAGGCTAGATGGTTTATCACACCAATTCAAAATGAGTAATTGAAAATTTCAAATCTGGCCTGGTAAAACAAGCTGAAAAACAACGAAATATTTCTATGCTGGCGTGCAGTTTTTTCTTTTGTTGAGTCATACATCGTGACAACAAAATCACAGAGTACCTATCAGAAGAACTACCCCATTGTTTTTTGCGTAAGTGTGATTCGTCATGATTCGTCAATCAGCCAGTACAGTAAATAGAAGCAATCGCCCCTGTGCAAATTTTTCAAATAGCGTCATTTCTAGTATTCACGGGGGGGGGGGGGTTATTGCTTCTATTTACGGTGCTTGTTGGTGAAAAATCATGACGAATCACACTTACGCGAAAAAATGTTTCCTTCTCATAGGTATTCTGTAACCAAACCGAACTGTTATGCTTTAAATTAAGACAAATAAACATACATTGATCGAACATGAAATATGTACTTAACATAACGTGCTCTCCAGTTCAGCAATTGGCGATATTGTTATATTATAAAGATACTTATCGTTCAAATGCAATGTGACGCGCAAGCGCGCAAGCGCGCATTTGGCTTGTCTATTATCTAAATTGCAACATCGCGTCAAGATGACAGGGTTGTTCGTAAGAATTTCTCTGGCTCGACGGTTGAAAAATAAATATCCATACTAAATAACTGTAAGAAAGCAAAAACTCGATCTAAGTAAAATGCCTCCAGTTAATTTAATTCATTTGCATTTATTAAAGATCAATGCAAAGCAGCTACATGTGAATCATTTGATAAATTGTTTGAAAATGTGTAAATGAATTTAATGGCTGACAGGTAGTTCAGGTAATTTCCTTGTAAAAATTTAAATAAACTTCCAAAAATTAACTTGTTTTCGGTATACTCTACCAATATGCAAAATGAATGTGCAATTTCTAGTCCTTAGTTGATGGGAACCAATTTACTTCTAGAGTAACTAGATGATTTTTGTTTTACTTAGAATAAAAATGATGTGTCACTCTACTTTTCCCAATTTATGGCCTTACTGGGTGTCGTCGTAGGGGTTAATACTGTTGTTTTGTGCAGATGTATGTATAATAAGGTTAGCCTTTAAGAGCAAAGATCTAATTTTATACGGTGGACTCCTAGGTTTCTTACTGAAATAATATGGTGCATAATGAAATATTCCCATTATGCGGGTATGATATTTTTACCTAACACACATATTAATCCATCAATAGTAAATATGACAAAACCATTGTATACCCGAATTAGAAAATTACCAATTTTTTTAGAAATATTGTGTTTTATTGCTGTCATCAACCAATAGCAAAGCTTGTTCATATAATTATAGGTACGTACCAACCGGTGATGACTCATTCGACTTCCAGGCCTGTTACGTTTTTTCTTCGGAACATAATAATATTATTATATTAATATAAAACATAATAATACCCTGATTTAAAGATTCGAGTGCCCCCCCCCGCAAAAAAAAAATCATGAAGAAAGCCAGAATGGGAGAGCAAATATACAAACTAAGTTACCACGAAGTCGTCAATTTAGTGCTCGCCGGCGTATTAAATGCAAATCAGATATCCTATATTGTGTGATACAGATCAAGTGAATGTAAATTGACTTTCTTTGATCTTTCATAGTTGTCTTTAACAGCAGAATATTCGTGGTTGTATATTGTTATTATTTTCGGACCGCCATTTTGTTTGGGAATTATTTTCAGATTTTGAGAGATTATTTTTCAAATGTAGGAGATATCACTACACGCGCTGTGCCGTTTTCAGTTTGTGTTTGCCCATGAAAAACTACGATGAAAGTGGCAAGTAACACTCTGAAATGGCCATTTCCGAAGATCTAGAGCATTGAAATTCCAAAAAATTTCGCTCGGCGCCAACCATGGGAGCGCCTCGTGAAATTAGCCCCCCCAAAATATATTATGTTCCGTCGCCTCTGGCATGATCCGTTATCTTGACTTCACTCTTTAATGAGAGGAAGTAGAAAGCTGGTGTTCCAGTCCTATTTTAGTTCACCGTGTTTATTGCACTCCATGGACGTTACAATTTGAATACTCTAGCTACGTTCATTTGCATCTCTTAAAAGTGTGTAGAATTGCATTGTAAGTTGCAAGAAAAATTGCACCGTGTAACATGGCCTTTATGCTTTTAAGAGGAGGACATGTTTCGAAGGGCAGTTTGTAAGCCATTTTACTTTAAGTAGAAAATAATGCTTTGGAAATGTCTTTTTCTTTCAATCTGTCATCTTTCTGCAGATTTCGGGTTGGTTGGCGCGTAATTCCCCGATATGATTCATCAGATGCTTTGGACATTCAAACTGACTGCTTCGTAGTAATTAACGTTTTTCATTGGTTGAAGTTTTTCAAGGTTTTCCGACTTTGTAGCGTTGTTTAGCTCACAATTCATGTCAACATCATTTACATTTCTTCTCTCGTTAGAAATAATCGATTCTCAAGCAGGGTGCTCAGCCAAGCAATTTCGAGCGCATTCCAAAGCATTCCATGCATCATAACGGCGAATTACGCGGCCAATCAACCCAAAATCTGCAGAAAGATTACAGATTGAAAGATTTCCAAAGCATTATTTGCCACTTAAAGCATATTTTTTTCGTAATCTGGAACGTACAGGTTGATAAATTACGCATAATTATGCAGATTTTCTTGCTATTTAACTATAGCCTCACAATTAATTATTAACCTCACAATCAATAAAATCTCAAATCCGATTCACTTTAATGTACTAGATGGTCGAAAAATATAGAGAGGGCTAGTAGTGAAAACAGCATCGTGAATAGTTACATAGTGAAATAAATAAACAGTAGTGAAAACACAATCATTTCAATATTATTGATCATCGATATATGAACTAATTAAATACCACTTAGCTAAGGTACTACTTGGAGAGTGCATCTCTAAATACAAAGATTGAAGCCGAAGCTGTTTACATTTTATCGACCCAATCAGAATGAATACATTTTGACTAGTTGAGTAGGTGAGAGGTAGATTATTTAAGGGTTATAGACTGTTTTGAGTGTTTTGTTTACAAAGATACGCACGCACTGACCACACAATAAATGAGACATTTCAATATTGCACCAGGCCATAGGCAGAGTACAGTATTGAAATTTCGAGTTCATTGTGTGGTCAACAAGTGCGTTTATTTGCAAACAAAACACGAACATAAAGCCTATATAACACTTTTAATATACAATCTGAGTTCATGCATTGACTGCTGCATTGAAGATACAGGCTTCGTCTCAGCTTCCCATGATCTGTCGCCAGAAAACAAGAAACCACGTGATTGACCAATCGCGTTATTAGATTTAGGCCAATCCACGAAGATTGTATATTAATTACTATTTTACATGAAGTATGAAAAATTTTGGCGTTCTGATTTGCTCTGCCCGTACGCGGCAAGCTACTTCCTGCCTCATTTAGGAAAACACGACCTGACGCCCTCTGCGTGACGCCATAGAGCCCGTTTTCTATTAAGCAAATTTATTCGCGCGACGAATGTTAGCGATATCTGAAATCCGATGTGATTTGTTAGCGAAAAACGCTACCTACTTTTTACCTGTTCGCGCGAATAAATTCGTCTACATGTATAGTGCATGGAAAACGAGTCTAAGCCGTCGAGAAAATGGCGTGGATATGTGTGTGTGACTACGCCATTAATTTGAAGTGGAGTGCTTGCGCTTATTAATACGACGCTACGTACATTGAATAATAATACTACAAAAGACTAAATCCCAACGTTTCCATCATACCAGTGGCGGATCTAGGTCAGAATAAAATACACAGCTAAACTTAAACACCTTAATAACAACGCAATTAGCTATGCATTTCAAAATAATTTATTCTGACTACCCCTATATATCCGCCACTGGATCCAACATGCTCAATTCAACTATGATGCTACTGCACATATATGTATCCGGAATTTGGTGTACTCCTGTAAGTCTGTCTACAGTCATAAATATTACCACAGGCAATACTTCTAAGTTGGTTGTTACACCCACGTACTGAAGCACCAAAACCAATACAAGAGTTGCACGACTTACAGTCGTTGTTATTGTTAGCCACTAGCCCTATACGCAAATACGTCTGATGTCCTCCATCAATGTTGAACCCCTCCTTGTTACAGTAGGGCTGTAATTCCGAGTCAGTGATCAGTGATTTCCATTGATTTTCCCCCACTTTTGTTTCGATAAATTCGCCATTTGCGATCAGTTCGAAAAGCGAGTTTGCTTTGTGTTTAATCACAATCCATTTTACACTGTCACTCTTGTCCTTCATACCGAGGCATATCTTCGTGAATGGTGTGTTCCAGTATGAAGCGAGTTTTGTTTCTTTTTCTGACATTCCCTCGAGTCCATCGTCTTCGTTGAAAACTTTCTTATCGGCCCAGTAAGAAGAGTTATAATGAAATGTGTCCTGTAATTTAAATTTAAATCATTTGAAATAATCACAAGCGAGGGGGAAATACAAGATACTTAGATGAATAAGAAAAATTTTTAACAATAAACAGCAAATTTTCTCTCAGTCCCTTCGCCGTTTTTATTGATTCAAAGTAGTTCTATCTTACATGAAGTAGCTAATTCCAACATTATTATGTTTACCTTTTCGCCATCCACTTTCATAACTAGTGTCCAACCTCCTGTTCCGCATTCAGATATTTCTTCCATGTGACAGTAAACTCTGTACGAAGATCCGTTCATATTTTGCAGTGAATAAATACCGCTTGGTGATGGTCTAGGTTTTTAAAAAGGCTCTGCTAACTTAAATTATTTTTGACGAATTTATAACTGATCAAGTTGATTAAATTTGGCAAATTTCCACCCAATACAGAGGGCTCAGTTTTTCAGCGGTCTTCAAATAAAAAATCAAAAGCTTTTCGTTTTTGCACTGCTCTCAAGAGTTGTCCGCTAACAATATGAGCCTGAACGAGTGATTTTCTTTTTTCCATAAATGCAAAAGTGTGATACGGTAGTTACGGTAGAGCTGGTAATTTATAACTCGTTCACATCTATCAAAAAAAGAAAATCGCTCATAAAATCGCAGCAAAATCGCAAAATTAAACGGGCCTTATGTGCGATTTTATGTGCGATTTTCCAAAGGCAATAAGAAATATTTTGTTCTGTACCTATATACGCACTTTATAGTTTTTACTAAAAAAATATCAGTTCAAGCATGTCCAATAGTATGTCCAGGATCTCAAATTATAGCAGCTGTTCATGTGTCTGACCTACTACACTTTAATTCGGACCTGGTGAGACGCTAGTGTGTATGGTGTTGAACATGCAGCATGACGTTGAAACTGATAGGCGTTGTGAAATGCATCCGGCCCGCTGTGAAAAATGTAAACAAAACGACAAAACTAAAGCAAAGTACGGCTAAAATGTGTGAAAACCTTTTTAAAAGACAGTTAAAGATAAGAAACACACCGAAAAAACTTCTTAGTTTGGATTTTTACGCCTCTTTTCGCCTGTCAAGTCATTGGAAATTTGAAATTCGTTGTTTTTTTAACCGATTTGCCGTAATTTAGTTCCTATTGTAACAATATTCATAAATTTTTTTGTATTTTTTGTGTTTAATAAAGTCAGTAAATTCAAGGTTAAAAAACAAACACGTTGTTTACCGCCACTTTTGGCTGTGCCCTCGGTCTCAAAAACGGCTTCGGGATCGGGCCGTTTTTGAGACCTCGGGCACATTTTTTTGCATCCGGACCTCGCAACCGTTAAATAATATTAATACATATCTTCCCAAACGCGATCATTCCGAAACTCGAAATTTATTTCAAACTCGCGGTCTACATTCGGTAGCACAATGTGGTAAAGTCAGTAAGACGTGAACGAAAACATTATCTCAAACTGCACTAACTGCAATTACCCATTTTTCTCCAGGATTTCTTTGCAAGAATGTAAGGGGGTTTCAACCACTACAAGAAAATTGAAAATATAAGTTAAATTAATACCCTAACAACAATTGAACACCCACCGCATGGAAAACAATAAATACAAAGTATATAATAATATAATTTAGCAAATTTGAAATCCTTCTCAAGTTTACGAATCAGCTCAGGCCATGACCCCGCGTTAAAGTTTTCGAGGGTTTTTACGTTTTTTTCTTAAGCTTTAGTTATCCGCTAACTCTCTCATCAGTGCAACAAAAATATTTGTTTTAATTGTTTTGATGAAAGCTCGAGTTGACGGACGGAATTTTCAACTGAAACTGGAGGCGAAACAATGTTTTGAAATAATTCACGATTCCACATGTCTTACCTGTTTCTTGTGTTGTTGAAAACTTGGGATTTAACTTAGGATTATCAGCCGCTTCCTATGAAATAAAGATCAAACAAATATTGAAACGCTTCAATATTATGGGCTGCGGTTTATTCATATGCTTTATTCTTCAGAGATTTGTTGCATAAATTGGGATATCCGCCTTATTTTGTCCCCGAGCCGGTGCGGAGCACCGTGCGAGGGTACTAATTCCGCTCGGATATTTACACCCACGATGTGCAAATGCGAAATCAATGCAAAGTCGTCCGCCATTATGCAATGGACCTCACGCGATGGACGGTCTTCTACGTTATGCGCATGCGCCAGTGTGAACTACTAAGCTCTTGATTGGGCGAGACAAAAATTTGTATTTTTAAACGTCAGTGATTAACAGTCATTTCGCAAAATTTTGATGAAATTTTTAAATTTATGTTTTCATATATATGGAATATATGTATTTTTAATTAAATTAGGGGAAAACTCGAATGTGGTCAGGACTTTTCACGTTTTAACAAATAACAAGACCAAATTTTCGAGTTTCGACCGAATTCACCGTGTATAATGAAGTCGGAAGATTTTAGTTTTTTACACTTGATAATATTTCATCCGGCACAGCTTTAAAAAGTAATTCTCTTGTGGTAAACACAACTTTAATATTCTCAAATGTATTTCACTATAAATCTGAATGTGTTATGTGATAAACGACATTATAACTTCATTTATAAACTCCGTTTTCATAATGACAAAAACCGGTCGAAGCGTAACATAAAACTTCGGAAGTTGTATGAGACGTCTGATGTTATATTTCATGGTAATTAATAATTAAAACAATTTACCATAACACTGACTATAGATGAATGACTTAACTTCCAGAAAAAGGTAGAAATCTTGTCGTATTTTTGCCATTTTTTCACAAAAATATGAGAGTAAACTTGGATTCTTTAAAAATATACGGCCGTTGCGAGTTGCTATGACTACAGTGTTTCCACGTACAGAAAAATATTTCCATACTTTTCTCAATTTCTTTTTCTCTCTATACCATGTACTCTCCAAAACCCCCAACCCACATAAATTTTCTAACAATCATGTTACCATCCCTATGCTTAACTGATTTCGTTCAACCGAGGCGAGGGGTTGCTGCATGCATGTATATCTAGTAATTATCAATATTCCATCTAATAATTTCGGATATAATTTAATTTAAAGTTAAATAGTCTAGGACCTGTAAAGGAGTTTGTATGCATTTCATTTAGGACAGATTATCTCAACTGTTTTAGGGTAAAATGACCATGGCAGTCAACATGGCATATGTGCCAAAATGTGAATCCGGGACGAAAGTCCTGAAAATGACCACACCAAAATTTTACTCGGGTTGTTGACTGATTGTGGTTGTGAACAAATGTATGCTTGAGTTTTTATCCCCCCGGAATGCTGTCCACGATGGCTCGTCCCGGAGTTTGCGCGAGACTTTCAAATTATTTTGAATCGTTCGTACTTGAATTTCATTCCCGATAAACGAGGGGTGGTTTTTTACTTTCAAGTGGGACAAATGCTTTTAAATTTTGGATAGCTGCTATTGTACTATCAATTATTTATCGATGCTGTGAAAAAAATACAGCTGGGGATCAAGAACTGGCATTTATCGTGCAGAAAGGCGGCGAGACATGGCAATGGCGACATAATTGATGAAATGTCAAGGGACACAAAAATGATAAAATATTACATGGCACTACTTCAAAACCCATCGAAAATTGGTTGAATAATTCTTTAGTCCACTAGAATCGTGCTAAAGTAAAGTATTTGGATGGTGCTTGCGACGGACGGCGAAAAACGGCGATCAAACTTGCAAAATATGGCTGAAATCGTGTTATGGCGGGGGGTAAGTGAAATGAAATATGTCGTATCGCAACAAAACTTTGTTATTTCCTAGGAAATTTATAATAAATATATAAAATAAGCATTTTTTTTTCATATGGCAAAAATTTTTAGAAAATAGGGAAAATTAGACTTTGCCAGGTGAATCTGTAATTTTATGCATAATTAGCAGTTGACCTGGAATAGTAAACATTCATTTTCTTGTAAAATATGAAACTTAGGGTAATTTCACTCTCCAGTGACCACCCCTAAAAGCAACCATTCTGAACTATATAAACAATTCAGAAAAACTGTTGCTTTGATAATTCAGGATTTAGAGCTATGTCGACTATGCCGTTTCTGGGTGTGGTCATTTTCAAGACTTTCGTCCCGGATTCACATTTTGGCACATATGCCATGTTGACCGCCATGGTTATTTTACCCTAAAACAGTTGAGATAATCTGTCCTAAATGAAATGCATACAAACTCCTTTACAGGTCCTAGACTAAAAATGCCTTATTGCTTTTATGCCTTATTTTTTGAGGGCTACAAGTTCATTAGTACTTTTGTACTATTATATACTACCCTCTCGAAATAAAGTTTCCCACTCACTCGCTAATTTACGTTATAAATTTTTAAAATATATTTCTAACTACTATTTGGTGAACGACGTGTTAAACAAGCATTTTTGCATACATTTTTTTTTACCCCATAAAAATGGGGAAAACGTTAAAGACTCACTCAAAGTGGTCATGTAAAATAAGATTGCAGCCGCACGTCCCTTCCTGCTTCAGTTAGCAAAGAAATTTAGAAAACAGACGTAACGTCCTCTGCGTGACGCCTTAAAACCTATTTCCACTAGGCGAATTTTTTCCCGCGACGCGAAACGATATCTGAAATCCGGTAATGTGATTGGTTTGTGAAAAACGCTTCCGGTATACAGCTTTTTATCTGTTCGCCTACATGTAGTGCATGGAAAACGGGCTTAAGACGTCGGAAGACGGATGAAATTGAATTTGGGTAGATCCTAAAATTCGTCACTCCAGCTGGCAGCGCCAGGGCAAAGCTATTAACAGAGGGAACTTTTTCGACGCCGCATTTAAATATCACGGGCTCACGGGGTTTTGTACGAAAAATTTTGCTTTTCAATATTTTGCTTGCAATTTTTAAGAATGTTGAAGTTTTCAGCATTGTGATTCACAGGTTTTCGAAAGTCTCGAGATTTTTTTTTTAATTCCGATATTCTTTAGTGCATGTATTTGGTGCTTCAAATTATCCTATCGATAGAACAGACAAAA